TGTATCCCATATGTCACCCAAGCACTGCCAGGAGTACTTCCTGAGTGCAGAGCTAGGAATAACCCCTGGGCATCGCTGGATATGCCCAAAAATTAAAAAAAAGATATGTCTTGCAATATTTTAAACATTTTGGGCCACACCTGACACAGTGCTCAACACTTATTCCTGTCTCTGAGCTCAGGGATCACTGCTGGCAAGACTTGGAGGACCCTATGCAGTGCCAGGGACTGAGCCTGGATCAGTTGTGTGCAAGGTAAACACCCTACCTGCTGTACTATCACTCTGGCCCAATTTTCATATTAAAATATTTGGAGAAGGGTTGGAGCGATAGTACAGTGGGTAGGGCCTTTGCTTGCACATAGCTGATTCAGGTTGAATCCCCGGCATCCCACTTTGTCCCCCTGAGCACCACCAGGAGTAATTCCTGAGTGCAGAGCCAGGAGTAACCCCTGAGCATTGCTGGGTGAGACCCGAAAAGCAAAATAATAATAATAATAATAGTTGTAGTAAGCTAATGAGGGATATGAAAAAAGAATATGAATGTAAGAATATAAGAATGTTTGATATGAAGAAGGGCTGGAGCGATAGCACAGTGGGTAGGGCGTTTGCCCCGCCAACCCGAGTTCGATTCCTTCACCTTTTGCCTTCGATTCCTCCACCCCTCTCGGAGAGCCCGGCAAGCTACTGAGAGTATTTCGCCTGCATGGCAAAGCCTGGCAAGCTATTCGATATGCCAAACACAGTAACAACAAGTCTCACAATGTTACTGGGCCCGCTCGAGCAAATCGATGAACAACGGGAGGACAGTGACAGTGATATGAAGAAAACTCCTAAGTAGCATTGTGCTTTATAAAGCATGGCTTGAATAGATGAGAGAACGATGCCTTGAGTTGGAAGATTTTCAGTCAGGGTTAGAGGAAAGAGGAATAGGAAATAATACGCTCTGGTCCTGTCCGTGTCCTCAGTCCCTTTCCAAGCTCATACACTGGAGTCCTGCCTCAGTAATTTGGAGACATAATTATACGTGAGTGAGTGAGTGAGTGAGTGAGTGAGTGGGTTCCTAATCAGGAAGGACTGTGTCTCCATGAGGATCAGGAGAAACCAGGGCTGCATGCAGACAGCAACCCAGAGAAGAGGCCTCAGGACACCCGCCTAGCACTCCTTTCTGTTCGGGCCATCCTCCTTAGACAGAGGTTTTCCAGGAGCTGTTCGAAACACATAGCTGCTCACAGAACACAGACAGACAATTCTCTCTCCTTCTAGTCCCCCCTTCTCACCTTAGGTAGATTTGGATTTAAATTTAGATTTCCACTTCTCAGCCCACCTCCCAGGTGGATGGAGAGCTGGCCCAGTGGTGCTGGGGAGTGCAGCTATCAAACCCTGGTCTCCTGCAGCAAGCAGAGCATGTGCACTGGCCCTGGAGCTGTCTCCTGAGTATTCAGTCCCCACACACTCAGCCTGAGACTCCGCTCCTCAGGCCTGGCCTCATCTGTGTCAGTGGTGGGGCTCCCTGCTGCCCCCCTGGCGGTGTCCCCGGAGCTCATGGTGGATCTGCCTCTCCTCACTTGGCATCTTATTGCTTTGAGTGGGCAGACCCAGGGAGCCTGCGTGACCAAGCATGCGGATTTCTGAACGTCTGAAACAGCTTTTTTGTTTGTTTGTTTGCGTCACACCTAGCAATGCTCAGGGGTTACTCCTGGCTCATGCACTCAGGAATCACCCCTGGCGGTGCTCAGGGGACAATATGGGATGCTGGGAATGGAACCAGGGTCAGCCATGTTGGCTGCGTGGAAGGCAAACGCCCTACCCACTGTGCTATTGCTCCAGCCCCCCAAAACAGCTTTTGAGAGGCAATACTGTGGGACGGGGAGGAGGTTTGGGCAGAAGGCACTTCAGGCCAAAGACCTTTATTATTATTATTAATTACCATTAATTTGGGGGGTTCTTGGGGCACATCCAGCAATGCTCAGGGGTTACTCCTGGCTCTGCCCTCAGGAATTACCCCTGGTGGTACTTGGGGGACCATATGGGATGCCAGGGATTTAACCCGAGTGGGCCGTGTGCAAGGCAAACGCCCTGTCCACTGTATTATCACTTTAGTCCCACAAACATGTTTATTTTATTGACTTATTTCTTTGCGTTTGGGGTCACAGCTGGTGATGTTCAGGGGTTACTCCTGACTCTGCACTTAGGAATTACTCCTGGTTGTGCTTGGGGGACCATATGGGAGGCCGGGGATTCAACTCGGGTTGGCTCTTTACAAGGCAAATGCTCTTCCCGCTATACTTTCTAAGTACATTTTGTTCTGTGAAAGTTGTCTTGCTTCAGGGGCCAGAGCATATCGGGTGCTGGGGATTGAACCCAGGTTGGCCACTTGCAGGGCAATGCCTTACCTGATGTTTTACTGCTCTGGCCCCCAACACAAGCTTAACTGAGTGTGCGGAGTCTGGTGGGGAGCCCCCTCTGGCCCCATCAGACTGTGCACTCACCAGGCACAGGATCCTCTGGTCCTCCCAGGGCGGGTCTCCCTGGACACACAGACCCATCCGCAGGACATCCACTCCCAGGGTGAACTGGAGTGAGCAGAGGGGCTCTGATGAAGGAGAGGATGCTCTGGGTCCAACCGCAGCCAGGAGGCTGCAGAAATTTAGCCCAGCTCCCCACCCTCACCCCCCCAGGGAAGTGTTCGGCTGTGGTTGCTGGGAAACACACCATCCCCAGAGGGACACCCTCGTATGATTCTGTGCAAGGATCCTTTTGGTCGGAAGAACAGGGCAGAGCTGAGGAAAGAGTTCAGCAGGGTGGGCCGGAAGCTTTGCCTTCGGGAGGCCCAGGTTCGAACCCCAGCAGCAGAGGCTCCACTGGGGCTACACCACTGGTCGTGTAGTTGTGGGGGCTGGTGAACATTCTGGGACTCATGCTCTTGAGGTGCTCACAGCTGTGCCCACTGGGAGCGTCAACTTACAGTGCGGGGGTGGGGGTGCAGACACATCCCTGGACACATCAGCCCTGCCCAGAACACACACATTGCCCCACACACAGCTCCAGGTGTCTAACGCTTCACCCCTCCCCACTTGCTACGCAGCAACTTCTCACCCTTGAGCCTTCCCTTGGGCCCCAAGAGTCTCACTCTTGCCAGGCCTGCTCAAACTCACAGGGTCTGATCCGGAAGGACAGCCTCAGTGAGCGTGCCAGCGTTTCTCTGTCCATCCTCGAAGGACTGGGCTTCCTTCAGTTGGACCGAGTGAACTTCCTGGAATGGGTCAGGCATGACAGCTACTCGCGATAAAAAACAATGCTAGCTCTTTGTACGTTACATTAAAAATAAATAAATCAAACTTCAGCTAAAAAAAAAAAAGACCTAAAAGTCCTGTGGGTGTGGAGCTGCCTCTCGCCTTCCTCACCCACCCTCCTTCTGTTCTCAGCCCAGAGCTCCTCCTGACACCGGCCTTTTGCCATAGTCCACATGGCGCTACAACTAAGGATTCATTCACTGATTCCGGTCTGCAGGTGTGGAAAGGTCGAAGACGGCTGGTACTGGGCTGAAGAAACAGCCCAATGGGCTAGAGCCCAGGCAGGAGGCCTGGATTCGATCCTGGGTACCACTTGGTTGCCCCAGCCATTCCAGGAGCACAGTGCGAGGAGTAACCCCTGAACACTGTCAGGTGTGGCCCAAATACAGAAACAAAACTGGAGCAGGCAGAGATAGCACAGGGCTTTAGTTAAGGCCCTTCCAGCTCTGGTTTGACTCCTGGCAGCATACCCCTGAGCTTAAACTTTGTCTGTTGTGCCGGGAAGTCCTGCCCCACGCCCTCAGCATTCCTGCTTCGGGTCACCACTCCAGTCACTTCCTGGGGGGGGGCTGAGTGGTAGAGTACATGCCTTGCAAGAACGAAACCTGGGTTCAACCCCACAAAACAGGAAGGAAAAAAAGCCCCTTCTCTCACGATGACAAGGATAGTTGGAATGATAACTCTGGACAAAAACCGAGAACTGAATGGCGGTAAAGTGATCTGCGTGATACTCTTTCAGTAACTGCAAACTCTTTCAGCATTGCAAAACCACAGTGCCCGAAAGGAAAATAAGACAGAGAAGAAATGTGTTTGCCATAGTGTCAAGCTGAGGGCGGGGTGGGGAGAGTCGAGCCTGAGGGAAACTGGGGACATTGGTGGTGGGACATGTATACTGGTGTAGGGGTGGGTGTTGAAACACTGCATAACAGAAACACGAACACGAACAACTTTGTAAATGTACAGCCTTCAGTGATTCAACTGAAAAATATAGGTTATTATTTTTGTTACATTAAAAATAAATCAAGCATCAATCTTCTAGAAAAAAAAAAGATGCTTCCTTAGGGAAGCCTGCCTCTCCCTAAAGAGAAAGATTCTCTTCTACAGAGACCTGAGGAGATGAAAAAGGAAGCACGGGGCGCCTCTGAGACAGCCGGAGAGCAAGGTGCAAGGACAGTCCACCCCCTTTCCACTGCTGCTTGGCTGAGGCTACAGCCAGGTCAAGGGGTACAGGGGCCCTCGGTGCTGACTCAGTGGCTCATCACAGAACAAAGGGTCACAAGGTCTCTCTGCTCAGCCCTTGCACCCGGCTGACCCACTTCCAATCCCTGCTACCCCACAAGGTCCCCCGAGCCTGCCATGACGATCCCCAAGAGCAGAGCCAAAAGAATTGAAAACCCCTGGCATGGCCCCCAAACTAGAACAGCAACAAAAACTGGAAGTTGGGTTGACGAGGGTGGGGAGGCAGGTCAAGTGCTAGCACACACACCTCCACGTAGAAAGCCCGAGTCCAGTCCCTAGCACTGCGTCGCCCCCGCCCCACCCCCTCACAATTTCCCCTCTCAATTTCATCTTTTCTTTTTTTAAGAACATGCCCAGTTTTTATTCATTAAATCCACAAGAAGTATAAAAGATCAGATTATAGAGCCAGTAACAAAAGACGGAGGAAGCACAAAGGTTCAGACACAGGAGGCCGCAGGGTGGCCACGCTCACTCCTGCATTTTCTCGATCAGTTCTTCCTTGTATTTGCCTTTTTCTTTTCCAACCTGTCGAGACTTGGCTTTGCGTTCAAGAATTTTTTTCCGATCTTTGTCCAGTTTTAGCCTGGTGATGACCACCTTGCTGGGGTGAATGCCCACGTGGACGGTCGTGCCATTGGCCTTCTCCCGCTGCACCCGCTCGATGTAGATGACGTATTTCTTCCTGTACACCTGGACCACCTTTCCGATTTGCTGGCCTTTGTAGTGCCCTCGAACCACCTGGACCTCGTCGTCCTTGCGGATGGGCATGGACCGCACGTTGTACTTCTGCCGCAGCTCCTTGGACAGCGGCTGCGGCATGATCTTCCGGCGCATGTGCGAGGGGGCGTTGAAGTGGCGTTTGCGGTTCTTGCTGCGGTCCGAGGTGACGAACGGGTTCAGCTTCGTGGTGACGGTCTGGCGCGGCGCTGGCTCCGTCAATTTCATCTTTAAAGTGAGGGTCATTGGGGCTGGAGCGATAGCACAACGGGTAGGGCGTTTGCCTTGCACGCGGCCGACCCTGGTTCGATTCCCAGCATCCCATATGGTCCCCTGAGCACCGCCAGGAGTAATTCCTGAGTGCAGACCCAGGAGTAACCCCTCTGCATTGCCGGGTGTGAGCCAAAAAATAAAAAATTAAAAAAATTAAAAAAAATAAAGTGAGGGTCATTTATTTCATAAGCAATGAATTTATGACAAGTGAAATGCGTCAGAGAGGGACAGACATAGAAGGACTGCACTCATTTGTGGAGTATAAAACAATATAACTTGAGGCTGACACCTAAGGACAGTAGATACATGGGACAGGTAGATTGCTCCATAGCTGGAAGCCTGCCTCATGAGCAAAGGGGAGAAGGCAGCTGGAACAGAGAAGGGATCACTAAGAAAATGATGGCTAGAGGAATCTGTCAGGATGGGAGGTGTGTGCAGAAAGTAGATAAAGGACCAAACATGATAACCTCTCAGTGTCTGTACTGCAAACCATAATGCCCAAAAGTAGAGAGAGATTATGGGGAGTCATGTCTGCCATGGAGACAGGGGGAGGGTGGGAAAGGGGATATTGGTGGTGGGGAATATGCACTGGTGGAGGGATGTGTGTTTTTATCATTGTGTGATTGTAACACAAACATGAAAGCTTGTAACTATCTCACAGTGATTCAATAAAATTTAAAAAAATGTGATAAATAACCGTGCCTTTTAAATCAGAAGTGGCCTGCATCACGAGCCGAAGGAGCAACGGGCGACACCTAGCAGCAAAGTGAGTCACTGCATCCAGGGTGAATTCCAATCCCCAGCTGTGATGGGCACCCACAGGTCCTGATCCTTAGGAGAATGCCTGGAAACTTGAGCCTCCAGGGAAAAGGACAAACAACAACAACAAAAAAGGAGCTCATGAAAAAAAAAATAACAATGTAGTGGCATAAAAAGCTTAGGGTGGCAGTCACATTGTTTCTTATACTACCGGTTCCTGGGCTGGAGCACAGCAGGTAGGGCGTCTGCCTTGCAAGTGGCCAACATGGCCAACCCGAGTTCGATTCCTCTGCCCCTCTCGGAGAGCCCAGCAAGAGTATCTCGCCCACACGGCAAAGCATGCAACAATTGTCACAATGGAGACTTTACTAGGCCTGCAAAGCAAATCGATGAACAATGGGAGGACAGTAACAGTGACTACCGGTTCCTGTGGCTACCAGTGATGCAGCAGTACCATGAGGATAACCGCATTCTTGCACATAGAGCAGACCAGAGCCCACCCCTGGCAATCTGGTCCCCTAAGCACTGACAAGAGTACAGAGCCAGGAGGAAATCCTAAAAATCCCAAACCTAAACCAAGTCCGATCAATACAGTGATATTTGGGCAGAGGACAAGTTATTGAAGGGGCAGAGGCAAGTTAATAAGTGGCAGAGGGCCATTTCTGGCAAGACTGTGAGCACTGCAGTGACCCTCCCACAAAGACCACAGCTGATACTTTTTTTTGGGGGAGGGCGGGGTACTGGAGGAGAAGCACACCCAGCGGTGCTTAGGGTTTATTCCTGACTCTACACTCAGGGATCACTCCTGGGCTCAGTGGACCGTCAGGGATGCCGGGATGAACAGAACCTGGGCTGGCTATGTGAACCCAGAGATGAGCTATAGGCAAGAAAAGGTTGCTAGAAATAAAGTTAGTGAACAAAAATGTCACTGTCACTGTCCTCCCGTTGTTCATCGATTTGCTTGAGCGGGCCCAGTAACGTCTCCATCGTGAGACTTCTTGTTACTGTGTTTGGCATATCGAATACATCACGGGTAGCTTGCCAGACTCTGCCGCGCGGGCGAGATACTCTCGGTAGCTTGCCAGGCTGGTATTTCTTTAATAGGCGAGAAAAAGGTTGAAATTAAAAATTTTCTACAAACAGGGAACTGAAAGTACCACTAGATGGAGCAATCACAAAACCATTTCCTGTTCAATAAACTGGTGGCTTTCAGGAGATTTTAAGGTCAGTTTGAATAAATGTAAACTGTAGGGAGTTACTTTAGAAATTTAAAAGATCTTCAGCAAAAACAGAACAAGGATTTATGTCTTAGTTCCTTCTGCAAAAAAGTATATGCTTCACCCCCTCCCCCGCCCCAAACAACACTTCTTTAAACTAAAAAGAGCAACACTAAAAGGATTTTGCTGCTTTCCCACATCACCACATCACATGTCCTCAAAAACTACTTCTGGGCTCGACTTCCGGGAGTTTCGGAAGTCAGCTGAGACAGTACAGGCCCTTCATGGTCACAAGCTTCCTTGCACTAAGTTTTCCTGGCACCTTTCAGACCCATGCCGCATCTTCTATTCTGAACCAGGAGCTCCTGCATGCAGCCAGGAAAGCTCGCCACCCCCGCCTGGCGCCTACTAGACTGGCAGCGGAGAAGGGGCAAGGCGCCCATTTAGGATGGACCTACGCAGAAGCCTGGTCCGGCATAAACGCCTGTCATCAGGTTTGAGGTGGGTGGAATGGCCGGTCAGTTTTAACATAACGAGCTTGTTAGCCTACTTCTTTTCTGAACAAAACCAAGGCTTCCTACCCATTCCCAGCAGGGCTGGAGGGGCTGCCTAACGGGGTAGCCTAACCAGCAGGCAGCAGCACTTTCTAGTTAATGCCATTAAAGTGGCACACCTTAGGGGGTGGGAGAGGCACACAGCTGTCCCCAGGGGTCACTCCCAGCAGGGCTCAGGCGACCATACCGGGTGCAGGGGCTCAACCCGGGTCGGCCGCATGCCAGGCCAGTGCCTTTAACCCTTCACCTCTCCAGCCACCTGGGGTAATTTTTTTTCTTTTTGGGTCACACCCGGCGATGCACAGGGGTTATCCCTGGCTCTGTACTCAGGAATTACTCCTGGCGATGCTCGGGGGACCCTATGGGATGCTGGGAATCAACCCTGGGTTGGCTCCGTGCAAGGCTAACGCCCTCCCCGCAGTGCTACCGCTCGGGCCCCATCCACCTGGGGTAGTTTGGAGGGTGCCCGCAAATGCAGCCTGTCCGCTCAGGGACCCGCGATGGGGTGTGGACCTGATTAAAGGTGAGCTGGAGCTGGCTCACAAGCGCCAGTGATATTTAGGAATTCTGCAAGTCAGTTAAAGCACAGGCATTATTTATTTTGGGGGTTTGGGGATCATACTGGTGGGGATCCCAGGGTGCTGGGATTGAATTTAGGTTGGTTGCATACGAAGCAAACATCCTACCTGCTGTACTATCGTCACTTCAGCCCCAGCACAGGCTTTATTATTATATTTTCAATGATAGGCCTGAGCACCAGGCTTCAGATTCCTGGTGTCCCACAGGCACTAAGTGTGATCCTGGCAGCTCTGCTTTGTTTTGGGGTTTCTGGTGGATGACCCCTAGCTACCCTAGGGTAGCCTCCCCCAAGAACCCTCAACCCTCTGGGTGAGACAGTCAATGCTCACACCTGCAAGGTGGTATTCAGGGCCACTTGGGCCACCCCAGCAGTTCAGGAGTTTATGGTGACATATCAGTGCCACTAGGGGGCAACGTGGTCCCAGGAATGGAATATGGGGCCCTGCATATGCAAGGCTGCACCCTTGCCCCTGCCCTACGTCCGTGGCTTGAGCACTGCTGCCTTAAATGGAGTGCGGCAGTTTTGGGGTCACTGCAATGCACGGCTCACATGCAAGCAGGTGTGTGTAAGCTGCAATCCCCAGTGTGCACTGACTGCAGCTGAAAAGGGTGAGTGCTGTGACTGGCCCGACTACAAGCCCTGCAATGACCCTCCCACAAAGACCACAGCTGGAACTTTTTTTGGGGGGCAGGGGAGACTGGAGGAGAAGCACACCCGGCAGTGCTCAGGGTTTATTCCTGGCTCTGCACTCAGGGATCAGTGCTGGGCTCAGGGGACCATCCAGGATGCCGGGGATGGAACCCGGGCTGGCCATGCCACATGCAAGGCAAGAGCCTTTACCCACTGTACTATCTCTAGGGCCTGGACACAGCTGAAAACTTGATGCCTCTAACGAAGAGTGCTACCTGTGGCAAACATGGGCACAAGCACCACCACCCTGCGTGCAGACAAAACTTCCTACACAACGATCCTCACGCACGATCTCATGACCTCAACTACTGCAAAATGTGCACTAAACCCCTCCCCCTCACCAGCACAACTGCGAAGGGAGAGAAGAAATGAACAAAAACCTTTACCATCTTTTACCCATGACTCAAAGCCAGGATGTTTGTTCATTTTGTACAGAGGAACTCTCAGAGAAGGGACTGCTATTTCTGCCAACTCCACCTTGGGACTCGCCAGTGAAACCAGGCAGGCTTTCTTTGGTGAGGAGAGGAAGGCATCTAATGGAGAAATGGGAAATCTAATACTGGAGGCAAACAGAATCCTGGCATCGATGGCAAAGGACCTCAGAATCTGGGTCAGGGAGCCAGTACAAAGGTAAAGGTGCTGCCCGTGCACGAGCCAGGTTCCATCCCTGACACCACATACAGTTCCCCCGGTCCACCAAGGACCACTCCTGAACAGAACCACGAACAGCCTCTGAGCACAACTGGGTAATGGACTCCCCAAAACAAAAACAAAAACAAAAAAATCAAAAATCATGGGGATGGGTCTTCCCAAGTGTTATTTCAGAGATCCAGGGGTGCCCCCAGCAATTGTTGGCTAACTGGGCCAACCATTCAATCCAAGGGCTGAGAATAGGGTGCTGGTCCTGTGGTGCTAGGGATACTCTAGCCACTAGCTGTGTTGGGGACCTCCAGGGATGCAGCTGGCAAGTGGGAGACAGACACACGGACACACAGACCATGTGATGTTGCGAGTTGAAGCATGGGTGGGTGCAGGCCCAGTTGCTTGAGTGGTACCCTATCTCCTGGCCCCAGAGCTATTGGTCTCAGTAGTGTGCGTATGGGGCAGAGGCTCAGTGATGTGGCTTCTGCACCACGGGCTTGAGGCTGTGAATTTAGTCCCCAATATTGCTCA